TGACCTCAAGAGCCAAGGCCCTTTCTGGTACCAACACCAGGAGCAGGAGTCAGAAACTCTGCCACAACCCACATCCCACAAATTTCTGAGATGAATATACACGAGGGTGTGTATGTGGCCTACTTAAAGCAAGGAAAACAACCAGTAGTGGGTTTTTCTCCTCAAAAACCTCAAAACTGTAACAGTGCTGCTTTATTTTCTTTGCAGCCTCTGCAAGCCCAGAAAGGCAATGCTTATCATCAAGAGGAGACAGACTTTCCTCATTTCCAAACGGAGCAGATTGAGACAGGCAAGAACCTGGATTGTGACCAGCACCGGTATCTTGTTTTGCAAAACTGAAGTCTACCCTTTCCTGGCCCTGGATTTGTCAATCTCTATTTCTAGCCTTCACTTGAAGCCTTGCTGAAAAATGCATTATATATTGACAGTGGCACCTTGTGAACTCAGAGCTAATGGCTCCAGAAATAGTCACCTCAGAGATATCATAGTCAAACTTCTGCATATAATGTCTGACATCTGCTTTGCACAGCTATGAGTGACGGTTTAAAACACAATGAAGTGGTGACTGAAACCCCATAATTGTGATTTACCACGCCAGGGAAATCGCTGGTGGATGTAAAATTTCAGGAGACGGTGCAGTAGTGTGGCTTGGACTGAGAGTCCTTTTTGTTAGGGCTGGGCTCGGTCTCTGGAGAGCCAAGCTGTTGGCACTCAGGGCTGGGCTCTGCTGGTTTAGAAACCTCATTTAATCTCTGGCTCGTTGGATGGTCTTCTGCTCTCTGAATCTCTCTGCATCCTTTCGTTCAAAACAGGTCTGCAGACATCTTCCCCCTTCCACCGAGAGCTCGGAGGCGAAGGCGGATGGGTAATTGCAGTCATTAGGGGATGCCTGATTTGGTACCATCCACAACTTCTGCCGAGCCCCAGCTGTGCCCCTGCCCGTGGGCCATTTGGGAGCCTCGGTGGTGCATCGCCCATGGCCCCGCCATCCAGCCCTGGCACCCCAGGGGAGAAGCTGCCCTGCTGTTGGCAGAGGTGAGCCCATGGCTCGCAAAATCGTTTCCCTGTTTCCACTGCCTTTCATAAAAAATCATTTCCTTCTTACTGTCAATAACATAAATCCCATAACATGGTTAGTGCACAGAAGACCAGTAAATAATTTAGGAAGTGGCCTCCGTTGAGAGTGCATCAAATACTAATATAGAGAAGGAAAAATCCCTGCACATCAGTTACAGTAATTGGTGGAAGGCACCAGTCCAGAGGGTAATGAGCTCCATTTTTAAAGCACGAGGAAATTAGATTCTTATAAACGTCAAGCACAGTTATTGTCCTCTTTCCTTGAAACAGAGCTGAGCTGGCTGGAGCCCATTGTCTCTCAATCAGCTTTGCTATGGATTAGACACATCCCGTCTCACACCAGGAATGTGCTTATTAGAAAAAATATCACTACACAAAGCATACAAGCTTTAACACTCAACCGATGTACTAATGGGTACGTGTACAATAAAACCCAATATTGTGTTACAAACCTTAAGCTGACCTGAGATAATACGATACAGAAATCTTAAAGGATACAGATGAGTGTTTTCTTTGTGTGCTGCAATTCTGACTACCTGGGATTTTGGTTTTCAAATAAAGGAGATAAAGTGAGGGAAGGTGACTTTTCCTCTTGGCTACTTAAGAAAAAAGCAAGCAGTAAGTCGTCTTCATAGTGGATGTGCTTGTAATCAGGTCATGTCCAAATACTGTGTATTTTACTGGTGTCTCCTGGGAAACTGTGGCTTCACAGAGGACTTTCTCCATCCACCTTTTTTCAGTTCTCTCCTGGAAAAAAGGCAAGACGCGGTTATTTGTTCATACATCAAAGTTAGCTCTGTGAATTAGTCTTTCATTATAAAATCTCACCAGTGTGTGTAAAGGCTCCACGCTTCAAAAAAAACCAGCAATCAGTTGTTCGGGGAGGATAGAGGGCTTTGTAAAACCAGACCCCTTTGCTGCATCCCTATTTTTAGCTTCTTACTTGAGGATGACAATCACTTGTCCCTCCCCAGCTAGAGGCTGTATCTTGTTTTCTGCCCAGGCTAGGAGCTCTGTTGGGAAGTGGCACAATCCTTCCTGATGTGGGAAGGCTTAAGGATGGAGCCAAGCTCTCGATTCCCTTTTGCAGTGGTGAGATACGGACTCAAACCACTTGTGTGGACTTCACCGCGTGCTAACCCAAACTCTGAATGATGCCGTACGCTGTTTCCAAGGTGGTTGTGTGTGTCAGACATGTACCGTGGACACGGTACGTTGGAGACCCTACTCAGGACTGCTGCAAGAAGGCTTCAGAGGTGATGTGGTGGGGGTAATGCAAGTCTGTGCTATCCCCCATGTAGGAAATTCAGCTCTTTGCAAAAGCAGATGGGCTGTTTGGGTTTTTTTGGTTTTGTTTTTCTGGAATCCTGTATTTACAAGTTCTTTTTTTTCTGGTTGCCTTTTTAATAATGTCGCGTCTTCCCTCCGATCTTCTCCGTCTCTGTTTGTGTTCCTGTTTTTTTTTTCATTTCTGCTTCTGCTGAATGAAGTTCCTGGTGTTGCCCATAGAAAACAAACAGTAACTTGAGACTTCTATTTTATACAAGCAACGGATATTGAAAGATATTCCTAGCGTGTGTCACCAGACGTGTGAACAGCGCTTTCCAATTAAAGCTCTAGGAATTTCTACTGGTTGCTTAAAACCCCTGCGAAATGTTGAACTATAGACTTGAATCCATTAACACCCATCATGGAGAAAAGATCCAGCTATTTATATGGCAGTCATTTTATTTATTTAAGTTCGGTTTCATAGGCTAAAACGAGCTCAACTCTTGGGGAAAAACATCTTGAGGATCTTATATCTTCAAAGCCTGGAACAATCACGAAGCAAACTAAACCAGTTTTCTGTAATTTCGGACAACTTTTAGGTCTGATAACTTTCCTTAATGTCTGTGCTACAGCTGCATCAACCCCTGTAAATGAAATAAAGAAACAATTCAAGGCATCTCTGACGCAGCCTGGTGGTTAAATGGTAATCAGCAGCTGGTGATTAAAACATACATATGACTCAAATCACAACTCCAAAGTCAGCATTTACCTTCCACTGTTCTCGTTAGCTAGGCACTTTACTTAATTGGTGCTGGAGTGCAAGTGTTACTAATTGGCCCAGGGATGGGAAGTGCTGCCGCCTCCCTGCCTGCCTCCCCCTCCCCGGGAAGCTCTGCGCACCTTTGCTGATGGCCTTGAGGTTGCTTTCTCAGGGCAGTGCAAGCATCTTCCATGGTTGCAGTGCTCAGGTAAGCAGTTGGTTTCCCACCTTCGAGAGGGAGCCCGCACTCCCCTGGGTGACTCCTGCCTGTTTGCTCTGGTCACAGGCACGTCTCGCAGGCAGATCCACCTTTGTTTGGGCTTTGGACCTCCCTGACCTCCCTACGTAGCTGAGATGCACGCTGCTTTTCTTCTCCCCTCAATAATCTGCCTCCTGCTGACCACTGACGGCTTTATTAAGCCATCAGCAGACACAAATTTTCCAGCCAACGTGCCTAGCTTGCGTACGGTGCTTGTTGAGGAGTTCCTGGCCCGTTAGGTCTGCAGGCAGCTTCGCAACACGAGGCACCTTCGTGTCTTCTCTGCAGGCTGCCCAGGTTTTACACCTCTTCTCTCTCAGGTGTTCCGTGATCCAGAGAAGCTTTTGCTTGTGGCTGTCCCCACAGAAAGCGGGTAGAGTGGTCCTCTGCTGGAGTAACATCCGCAGCTCTGCTGGTGCTCCAGACCGGTGGGGACGTGGTATCAGGGAGGAGGACAGGAGCGGGTGCTCAGCAAGGTTAGCCGCTGGCTTGGCTTCCTCTGCAAGCCCAGACAGCTTCTGCTGAGAGCACCCGATCAGCACCACGTCTCCTCAGAGGACTTTCTCTTGGTGTTTTGGTTTTGGAAGCTGCTGGAGGTGGTGGATTAACTGGAGATAGGTGACCACACAACAGGCTGGGTGATCCTGGTTTTTTTCCTGTGGTTTGGCCTTCTGCCTTAAATAACCCCATCTGATGGGTATATTTATTTAGTCTAACTGCCTGTGGCTGGTGTAGTCGCGTGTCATGTTGCCCCACTCGCGAGTTTGCTTGTCTGCTTCACGTCAGCACAAAACAATAAGTCTGTGTTCTTGGATTGGGAACCTTCTTATATAATGCCACAGCTCTGTTACTCCATCTTAAACAATTGTTTTCTTCTTCGGGGTCTTATGGCTCTTGAGCACGTAGCACCTGCACAGTAAAAACCACAGGGCTTCACAGGCAAAAGAAATCATTCTGCTATCAGCACATGGATGTTATGAAATGTTGCTGTGTTTATACGACGGTCGGTTTTCCAATATTAACTCAGCTGTTTCCCATTTATTTTTAAAATACCACATGGGTCCGGTCCTCCTTATAAAGCTAATTTTGCAGATCACTGGAGATAGAGCAACAAGGCCAAGAAAGGTGAAGCCTTACTGCTACACCTGGAGACTCTTGAGTGCCAAGTTTCAGCCTGAAGCCGTTTTAGCATCAAGTGGAAGACAGAGGAGCAAAAAGAAGTGTTAATAATTGTAAAGGGCGTGCTGCAGGCTCGCTCCAGTCTGCGTGCCAAAGCCTTAGATGGGATTTTGTGTGGGGAGGATGAGTCCCTTGGTTTCGGGAAGCTCTCTGGTCTGCATTGACAGCATAACCCATCAGCGTTCTCCAGGTGACACAAAGACTTGCCTTTGTCCCGTTCAACTTTAAACTGAGGCGCCTCCTTTAACAGTGTGCTTGTCCAAGGTGTCCTCTGTAAAGTGGCTGGAGAGTGAGGACATGCTAGAGAGAAAAGAGAAACCTCCAGAGACCAGATGAGTCCTGGATAAGATGGTGTCCCCAGTGTATCCCTTGTACACCTACATCACCTTTGCTGCCAACCCACGGAGACCGGCTCTTGCCTTTTGGAACCTGGGCTTCGGTTTTAATGGGATCGCTCACAAATGCCATATAACTGCATCATGGAAAATGAGCGGGAGAAGGGGGCTTGGCTGGAGCATGTCTGCCCCCTCCCCTATTCCCTGAGGGCAGCACTGCTCTTAGCAAGGTGTGACAGCCGAAGTGAGGCTGCTGCAGTGAGGGTGAAGGAGTAGTCACCATCATGTCTCCTTTCTCTGCCGTGACCGGTGTAGTTTGGCAGAGCCCAAGAGTAGGGCCGCTAGAGTTGCTTCTGTTTATATGTGGTGCTGGAAGACAAGTACCGTGTCACCTGCTTTAGCTTCCCGTATTGCTTCTAGAAATGCTCAATTTGTCACGTTAAATAGATAAATGACCTGTGGGACATGCAAAAATCAGAGCTGTCTACCAGGTCTTCACTGTATCTTCCACGTTCGTTAATGCTTGCTGGTTAACCGCGGTGAGGAGGTTTCACCGGCCACGCAGATGCTGCTGCATGGGATCAGGTTCACAGGTTTCTGTGGATGAACACACATTTATATTGACATTCTGCAAGCTTTTGGTGAGCACTTGGTTGCGTGTAGGTCTTTCTTTTGGCTCACAAGGCACCAAGATGATGGCACTTGAACGTAACGAGCATTAGCCGCTCTTAGGGATGGCCAATGACATGAGCCTCTCTAGAAACAGGTTCTGCTCTGGGCATCTCAGCAGCCCTCCCTGGGAAAGAGGAAACCTACTGAAGCTGCATTCCCTGCTGAAAGGAGCTCACAACAGCAGCAGGCTCCTGGCCACGCATGCAGCGCTCTGTGGCGAGCAGCCAGCCGCCCAACATATCGATGTGAAAAGGTCTTTTAGCTCTGTAGCACCGTAGTTCAAAAATGGCAGGAGAACTAGTGCTCAGTAAAGCTGCGAAACTATAAAGAAAATGAACTTTTACTGATTTGGGGATTACTTTTTTCCCCTGACTGAAGAGGGGATTGGGGCAGAGCTGCCACCTCCGTGGCTGGTAGAGCCACGTCTTGTGTCCGAGCGGTGTGGAAGGAGAGAACATCGCTCCTCTGCTGGTGCTTTTTCCTGCTCAGAGCCGAGGGATGGGATTTGCAAAAGAAGATGTTACTGTGCAGAGCGACTGGGCTTAACATGCGTTTTGGACCCCTTGTCTTTCTCCCCTTGGCGTTTCCATGCAATGCGAGAGCGACTCACTGCCGCTTCACACCCCGTCCCCTCCAGACCACAAAGGTCTCTGGAGAGAGTTGGGGAACTGCGGTGGGCAGGGACACAAAGGACCCCACCATCCATCTTGCTAAAGGCTCATTAAGACACTTTAATTCATATGAACGCTATGTATTTCTGGTAGGTTTTTTAACTTTGTCAATGATGCGATATATCCTAAACAACTTTCTTTTAAACAGGTTGAAGCTATGAAGAGAGTACTAGGAAGTCTCAACCTCAATATAGTAGAGATGGTAGATGAAAACGCGACCTTGGATGGTGGAGATGTCTTATTTACAGGTATAGTGATGGAGATGTCTTATTTACAGGTATAGTGGTAGTGAATTTGCTGTTTATGTATTCTGACTGCCTCAAAGACCGCACGTTATCTGTCATCTGCGTAACAGTGTCATTCATGTGGTTTGTTAAATCAGTTGTTACTAAATCACGAAGGTAGCTGAGAGCTGAATTTTCAATGCAAGCCTCAACGTCCTGCCTGATGCCTGAATAAATGAAGTAGCAGTACAAAGAGCAGCACTGTGCATACAGATTTTATTTTCGCTTGTAAAGTGCCAGTGAGAAAAATGCTTTCGGTAGTCAGCTGCCTGCAGTTGTTTCATATTTCTTATTGCAAGCAGCGACATTCACCAGACTCATTTTCAGGACTTGTAAAATCTCGATGCGGACAATTGTCACTAGGTCAATGAATCAAATGCAAAAAATGCTTTTTTTTTTAGTTTATGGAGAAGGTGGTGGAGTTGCCTGCCAGATGTCATGTGCTAGACAACTTACATGCGTGGTTGACTTCAGAGATGAAGATACTGACTGTGTTTTTTATGTCATTAAACCCATTAGGCATTTTCTCACATCGGCTGCGCCCACGCTTGCTCCCCGCCTGTGCTGAATGAGCCTGTTTGTTTTGATCAGCATCACAGTAGCCTGGCTGCTTGCCTTCCTTCACCAAGGGGAAAAAGGAGGGTCTCAAAAGAGGCAGACCGGGAAGGGAGGCCTTTCTGAGGCAGGGCAGATCCAGCACTTGTTTTCTCTGGAGCAGGAGGATGCCGGCGGCTGCAGAGCTGCCTTGGAGACCTGAGGAAATCTCAGAGGGAGAGGGAAATGGTCAATCAGTGCTGTACTAATCCAGCCCAGCTGTTCTCTTTCCTGACTCAATGGCCATTGCAGAGCTTTAGAAGAGGAAGCTATTTATGCTTCTGGTGAAATGTGTCTTCTGGAAAAAGATAATTGCTTGAAATGATCAGCTCGCAGTTGCAGGTTGCATTCTTCGGTGCTGGATTTTCAGTTTTACTGCTCAACTTGAGAAAAGAAAGATAGGAAAAGATAGCCATGAGAGATTGCTTCAGAATGTCTCTAAAGCTGGCCTGTTTTTAACATGTTCTGGTGAAGGAGCTGATGTGGTGATTTTTTTTTTGGATGGCTTAAAAAAAAAAAAAGCTGAAATTGTTTTGCCCTTCATTTTCTGATTCCAGGCAGAGAATTTTTTGTGGGTCTTTCCAGGCGAACAAATCAACGTGGTGCAGAAATTCTGGCTGACACTTTCAAGGTTTGTAGATTCATTCATGCCGCAGGAAATACAAGCATCATCCAACAAACCAGTTTAAAAATTATACTGGCCAAGAAGTTTGTCATACTCAAGTGCTTTATTTGGGACTTTGTAAAAAAAAAAAAAAAAAAAGCAAATGTTTCAAGTTAGTGAAAAGGTTTGAGCATCCTATAAAGTGACAGATGCTGAAGTTGGATCTGAAATGTGAGATCACTGCATAAAAGTAACTTGGATAGTGGGAGGCTGTTATTATTTGAAAGCATGTCAGTACTCACGTTCCTAATGTTCTCGTGTATTGGCAATGTGTTCTTATTGCTGGTCCCTGGAGAGGTTTTATGTACATACGGTTTAATTATGCATTTTAATGTATTTCTTTATGGTTGCAACAATAGTCATATTTGCAACATGTTCTGGATTTTACTCCAGTGCACCAGACAACACAAGCTGGTCCAGAGGGGTATGTCGTACCTAAACAGTTGACCCTGTGCCCTGGGATATGTTGCTGTTGTGAATTTGCAGAGAGTAAAATTAATTATGGAACGTCTCAACATACTTAGGGAACTAGGACAATTAAAAAAAATTTATAACAACGATTTCTTTGCTCCCATGCAGGATTATGCGGTCTCCACGGTCCCTGTTCATGATTCTTTGCATCTGAAGAGCTTTTGCAGCATGGCTGGACCAAACTTGATCGCTATCGGATCAAGTGAAGCTGCACAGAAAGCCCTCAAGGTAAAGCACGTAAGAAAATTTTCTAAACAACAAACTTGGGGGTGGTTTTTTTTTTGTTTTCACCTCTGCCTGAGGATGTTGGAATTTTAAAATAGATATAGATCAATGAAAGAGGAAATCAGTACCTCTCAGGGTCTGCTGTATGGGCAAACCATAAAGAATGTTTCTATCAGGCAAGATGATATCAAGTGATGTTAATTTAGCTTTAGTTATCTTCAGGAAGGCAATGGATTACACAGGTTATTACTTACAGCTTTGTTGACTAAAAGGTGATAATTTGATGATAGGAGGGAGGAAGGAGAGATCATCAGAGCAGACGATGTTGCCATGAGGAAACAGGGATTTTAAAATTGCTAGAGGGGAAGTAAAAGCTTTGGCATGAAGGAGAGAGAGGGGTCTGATCCCTGTTGAGAAGGTGACCCGTGGACACATTTTGCAGCGTGGACTTGCTGGGTAAAACCAGTTAGTAACGCCGTAGGGACCGGAGTGCAGGACTCCCCATCCCTCCTTCCTCCATCACCTGGCTGCAAAGTTCCTTCCTGGTCACGTTTTTTTCCTTTCTGGTCCCACGAGGGTCTCGTAACAGCGTGGCTTCAACAGAAAGAAGGGAGAGTCGTCTCACCCCAGCCTGGCCGGCAGTTTGAGTCTCTGAACGTTTTCCTTTGAAGCGGGAGGTGTGGGTTTGAACCCTGCGGCTAAGAGGCCTCGTGAGTCTGGGTCTCTCTTCGCTGGCAGGCTGGCAAACCGGTAACCCGTGGTGTAGCAGGTCAGCGCCGTGCTACCACCGTCATCCTCGATGATGAGAAATGTTTGTTGCTGCTGTGGTTTGCGCCGGGCTCGGTGGCTTTTCCCGCCTGTTGGGTGCGTTCAGAGCAAATCTACCAAATTATGCTTTTTCAGAGGTGTGGGCACAGAGACCCCTGAGGCCCTGAATCTCATTATGCATGTAGGCCATGAGCCGGCTCACCCGAGAGATCAACATCTCCGCTCCTGCACCGTAGCACAGCTGCAGGTGCTGGCGCTTTGCAGCACAAACTTTGGCTGGGGCACCAGAACAGCCAAGTGCAACTGAGACTTGAGCTTGAGGGCGTTTGTCCCTCTTGAATGAATTAGGACCTGCCATCCTGCACGCTTTGATTTGAGATGCAGGCAAGCCAGAGCATGTCTGAAAGCATTACAGCTAAGTGTCTTGGGCATTTTTATCGGGACTTGCCTTCAAAGGTTAATCCAAAATTTACTTCTCATCGACGGCAGCAAGTCCTAAATTTTCAGCTTATGATTTTACCGATTCTTTTGCCAGCAAGAACCTAAGTGCAGGCTTTGCTCTTTGGCTTGGCAGAAGCCTCCTTGATGCAACATGGTCACTAACGCACGGAGGAAGCTAGCTGAGTGCCCCTTATAATGAATGAGGAGGGGTGGAGATCGCTCTGCTGCGCTAGTGAGAAAACTCTGACATCTGCTCGGTTTAAATGCAACGTGCACATCCTGGCTTGTATCTCTTGCCCTGATTCTAAAGCAGGAATTATTTTTAAGAGCAGCACCTTTGTCGGTCCCCAGGGCTTCTGATCTGAATCTGTGCCAGGCTGTTTACAACAGAAACGGTGTGTAGCTCTGCGATCAACATCCCTGGCCCCCAAAGAGTTTAGGAACCCATCCTGCATGTCTTAGACACCTCCTCAGCTTCAGTAAGCCAGTGATATTTATTACTTTAAAACACCCTTAAATATTTGCAAGGTGGAGGCCTGAGAGACTTCTTGTCCTTACTGCCACGCTGCGATATTTCATTGCACATTTGCTTTTCAGATCTCAGGCATTTTCCGCCTGGGTGCAGTCCTAGGGCTTTTCATTTCCCAGCAGCATCATTTTTACTATCAGAGCTTAGCAGAGATGTGGTGGGGGTTTTTTGTTTTTTTTTTTTTCTTTTTTATCTTGTGACAGTTCAAGATTTAAAATGCCCCGGTCCCCAGCTAAAATAAAACTAACATTTCAAATCTCAGAATCTCCCCTCCTGAACGTGGGTTGAATTATGGAGGCCAGGAAAGTGCAGTCCTGGCTGGCTTAGACTTGCGGCCTGGCAGCAATTAAGGGAATAGGATAGGAGCCTGATTGCTCCGTGGGAGTTTAGCGGAGCTGTTAAACAAGAGGATGGTCCCCTGGCTTCCCACATAGTTTGGAGTGGCTTTAAGTTTGCTCATTCATTTGAGCAAGCTGTCGAAGTGACTCTCTTATTAGAAATCACTACATGAAGCTCTGGGAGCACGTTGCCAGCTTATCCCCCGTGTCTTGTCCCCTGAGAAACTTAGGACAGAAGGGTTTGGTTGTAAAGGTCTGATGTTCCTGACGCCGTGAGATCGATTCGGTCTGCAATGGGAAGCGCCCTGCGTCTTTCCCTGTGAAATATCCACTATCCCAAATATTCAGGCTCAGGCTCGAAACACATCGTCAGCCTGATGAAGTTTGCAGATATCCAGACAGCCCTACACTTGTGTGGAGTGTTTATAAACATGAGCAAAATTCAAGTACAATACTGGTTGCTCAGAGCTGCAATTTGAACTTGAGCCAGGACTAATCTGAGAACTCATCAGTTTGATTAAAGCCTTTTGCACAGCTCGGCTAATCGTGTTGCAGTGCCTCAATTTAGCTATTGTAGCCAAAAATATTTTTTAGATAAGCTGATTAAATGTTGCTGGTGACTAGCTGGCAGGTAAAGACCGGCATTAATCAAGGTACAGTAAAAAGCAGATACATTTTTAAAAGAATAGGGTCGTTAACAAGATAATCTCGCAGTTTTGGGTTGTTGGTGGATATCTTTTGAAAAATAAGTCGACTATGTCAGTCTGCAGCGTGTTTCTCTGCACTGGACATTTAGCAGCACGTTTGCACGTGTGTGATGGCCACGTTGGCTTGCACCCTCCAGCTGAGGTTAGGGGCTCCGGCCCGGAGCGGTGGGTTCACGCTGTAGCACGTGCCCTTCTCGCGCTTCTGGCGAGCTGACAAGTTACATCAGGCAACCACGTCGCAGACGGAGCGACGTATGAAGTTACCCGGAGTGTGTTTCTTGCTCAGTGTGTCGGATCCAGCTCTGCTCTCATCCTGGGGAACCTCTAGCTGTTCCTCCAGGAGTCTAAAACTCTTCAGAGAAATTATTGGAAAACAAATAGGTGAAGTGTCCATCTTGGAAGTGACGGAGTTGGCGGTGCTGCTTATCGCTAGCTTCCTCTAACATTTGCGTTCTTGCTTCTTGACCTCAGCGATTTCTTTGTATTTGTTCACTTGCTTCCAAAGGAAAAAAGAAAAAACCCTTCAGCTGGTAATCAGCTTCTTGCAGTCTGGTGGAAATGCAAGAGGATCTCTCTGAGGCACTGATGCTCAGCACTAAAAGCTGCTCCCTGGATTTCACCAGATCACCCGCGCTATAGCAGCGCTGTCAGCTGCTCCTCTCGTTACCCATCGCCGTCTGTGTGGCAGTACGGTCCCCTGAGCTTCTACCGAGTCATTTGCCTGGCACAGCCCAGCATACCGCTCCTTTGTTGTGATAGCTTGTTATTTTAAACCTCTCCTTTGTTGTTGCCATTTCTGGTGTCTGGAAATGCGATCATACAAGCAAGATGATTAAGCAGTCTTTAACCATCTCTGGTAGTTGAGTCGTTTTCATTCTGTAGCGTGTCTTGTTAGGCAGCAAGTGAACTGCAACATCGTGCTGTGCAAATGTTTTATATTTAAAATAGGATTTATCTTCCCGCTAACGGTCTTGTTTGAAAGAGAAATTTTTCTTGATTGTTCTTACTGGTGCAACTCGTACAATACTTTAAAAAACAGAAAAAGAAACTGCATCTGGTGCTCACATATGGCAGAGTGCAATCGATCATGGCTTTAGTGCGGTGTGTGTCATGTAAAGCGCTGCAAGCGAGCTGGGAAATGAGCGCACAGAGTTTGGGATTATAAAGCGCATGCTAGAAGCAGATAATAAATCAGAAGTGACATTTTAACCATGAAATCCTCTTGAGGCTCTGGCAAGTATAGAATATTTATTTGGGCTGCAGCTGAAAAGTGGCACTTGAGGAGACTGGGTGAAAGAGAGAGGCAAATTAACTGCAGAAAGTATCGGGGCCGGTAGTGGCTATCACATCTGAGACTAACTTCCCGCCGCTGTTTTCAGCCTGCGTTTAATTCCTTCTTGTAGTTCAGCCCGGTCATAATTCCGTGCGCATAATTCCATAGTTGAACATTTGCCATGGCTGTTAAGCCAGTAAAGCCTGGGATTATTTTTCTCTTCCCTCGGTGAGGCCAGGATTTCCTCCAAACATGTCACCTTTGGGCCCTGATCCTGCGCTGCTGGAGTCGCTGACCTTTGCCGTGAGTGTGAAGGAGGATAATTCAGGCTGTGACAGTGCTGGCCCCGGCGTAGGGGGGTGACGGGGCAGGGCTGCGGGCGCGTGCTCTTTTACACCGCTTTTTCCCCAACGAGAGACACAGCCCTGGGGTCTGGTTGGGAGAGCAGAGGAGGAGGAACTGGCCCGGGACATAATGCAGTTCAGGGTCCAGCAGCAAGGGCAAACACTAGGCAAGATGACGGTGGGAACCCTGACGCAGCATCTGTTCCGCCCTCCTTTCTGTACTCTCTCGCTCTACACTAAATCCTGAAAAGCCACATTTCTGTCCTTTGGCTGTTTGTCTTGGCCGGTACGGAGCACAAATCCCCTCCGGATTCTGTGATGAGCGAGGGCTTGGACAGCGACAGACGATGGTGGGCAGAGTCCTCGGTTGAAGCAGCTTTGTCTGTGGCCAAACCCTTCTTTACCACCCTTTGGATAACTCCGTAGCCATCCCAAAGCATCTGAGGGTTGCACGTGTTGTTCCCAGGTTTGGCAAGCTCAGCTGTTCCCTCGCAAGCAGCGTGTGTTTGTAGCGAGCGCCTGCTGATGGAGTTGTTCTCTCACCCGTCGGGGAACGAGGTTGTCCTTCGGGTAGGTTCTGATGGCGGGCAGCCTCCAAAGGAC